ATTTATATCCGCTCTGGTCTACCATTGAGCACTCTGCTTGTAATAATTGCAATAGTTTACTTCAGTTATATATATATATATATATATATATATATATATATGTTTACTTGGATAGATGTATGCTGTATTGATTCTTAATGTACGGTACCATTTTGCAGCAGCCGCACATCAAAGTCCTGCGCTCATTCTACCCAAATCACCATTACAATATTACTGTACTAACAAAACACCTTCGTCCTCTTACAACTCAACAAACAGCAATCTACAAAACATCATTATGTCGCGCATTATTTTGATATGTTGTATATCTTCATAATCATCATCGTATATTTTTTTAAAACTGCATTAAAGGTCATTGCGAGAGTTGCTGGTACCGGGTATGACAAACATGAGACACCACTAGGGGCGAAGAAAGTCATTGATCGAGTTCTCCTAGTCCACATATCAAGTGCCCTGAGCATCTAATTAGATGGATACGACGCCACCACCACCGCCGCCGCCCATCATCATCATTATTTGTTTGTTTATTCAAATTATTTTTATTATTGTAAGTGGTAATTATTAGTGGTTATAATAAGTGGTTTTGTTTGATCTGGTTTGATGTACTGTATTGTGTACACACCTACAGACGCACCCCTGCCGCATATACGGTACCCAGCGGTCCTTCGCCAGTATTGATCAAGATCCAGATTATTATTATTATTATTATTATTATTGTCATTATTATTATTATTATTATTTTAATCAGGAGCGGATTTGGGACCCCCCCCCCCAAACCTTTGGGAGGTTAAAAAAAGAAAAAAAGAAAGAAAAGGAAAAAAATATAAGCCCAGAACTCCTCAAATGTTATTTTCGGGCGTCTAGAACACAAAAATTTCGTACCCTCTAGGACAGTGTTGTCTCGATCGGCCCAACTTTAGGGCCCCCCTTTTGGACATCTCTGGATCCGCCCCTGTTAATGTATTTAACACTTTAAAAGGGAACACTTTAGTTCTGCAAAAACCATGATATTGTACATTGTTTGAATGTTTTCGTCCAAGTGTTTGGGAGTGGATTACTGTATGTTACTTATTCATTATAAACCATTTCTCGGTAGCCACACATCAAGTCATGTGCTCCTCTTACCCAAATATCCATTTAATTCAAAAAATATAAACGTCAACGTCCTTTCTGTTGGTATTCAATATGCAGCATTGTACACGTAACATTGGCTTTTCATGTATACAGTATTATTTTGACGGTCTGTAATAAAGTTAGAAGAATCCACATCAGGGAGATCTGTTTGAATAACTGAAAGGTCCACTGATTGATCTCAAGTAAAATAGTATAATACAGACTAAGTATCGAAATGCACGCCATTGTGTCGGGATTCAATATTTCGACATTAATTATGTCATTAGGAATTCTTGATGATGACATAATGTCGAAATACTGAATATTATACTATCTTATCTGTTTGAATAAGTTTTCTTAATATATCTAAATATATTTTCTGTGTATGCCGATGATAACCATTATTATTGCACTAATTTCTGGCAGACAATTGATAATACAATAGAAAAAAAACTTGTGAAAGCATGCAAATATCATATTGAATTTGCGGGAGATCGTTTATTTCAGAAGATTCTTGCTTGCTCGCGGAAGTGTGGGAGGCCTTCCCCGCCAATTTCCAGACTCCATTCCAAGACTCTACAGAAGACTTGGGATTCCTGGGCACTAAATGTTGTCCTTAGATTAATTAAAAAACAATACATTACATGCTTAAAATTTACAGTTACTGCATGCTGTTGTTTATTCTTAATGAAACATTTCATGGTAGACATGAACTTGTCTTTCCATTAAAATATTACTAACATTGCCACTAACATTATCATTATTCAATATACACAAAACAGTGCATTGGCTAATATTATGTGTAAGTAATACAACAGTATAACACAATTTACTGTATTATAGAAACAACTGCATTAACATCACTTTATTTTATAGTGGTCTTTAATTGGAGGGAAAATTTTTAGTTGGGTCCACAAAAACCATGGTATTTGGTCTGTAAATAGAGGGAATCTTTGGTGGGAACACCTAATGATAAAAATAAGCACAGAGACAACAGAAATGTGGGCGTTAATTAATTGGAGGTGGTCTAATTAATTTAAAAGGTAGTCTAATTGGAGCGAGACCTGTACATCATACATCCTTACATTTGTCTGTCTGCAAATGAATTATGTGTTGGCAAGTGAAATAGTTTCTAGTTCTAACTTTCATCCAATTGATTGTACTTCTAGGGCATTTGCCTCTTTTTTAATACTTTTCAAACTATTCCACTGATATATTGATTAAAATTATATTTTTTGAAAGAAATAAATGTTATTTAATTGATTGATGAAAAATTAAAAACATAATAAACAAATGGTTTTCAAATTTTAAATTTTCAGTCATAAATCTCAGCCCCAACCATGGTGGAGCTCAGGTGGTATAGACCCTCCATCTGTGCCCCCTCTATTTAAAATTTAGAATACAATGACAAACATGATTAACCAGCAGATCTGAAAATTTCCTCCAAGTCTCTGAAAGCTAAGTGGTGTAGTTTTTAATATCATCATGTTAGAAATTTTTATGAGTGTACAGTATTTTTTAACTCGTAAATGAGATTGCTTTTAAACTAATGTCCCAATTTAGTTACCTGTACTGTACTGTACATCATTTTATTGTTGCCATTTTTTGTTGAATAAAAGATACCAAGATATATAAAGCCCCACCATTACGCCATTGTATACGACACAAAAAAAACAATGAAAAAGAAATCCCCATGGTTGAGGGTCAAAATTGGTTTATACGAGGGAAGAGAATTTTGGTTTGATACTAAGTTTATTGCTGAAAGGTGTCAAAATTAAAAGTTGAATGGTTATGTTAAGTGTCCCTCCTAATAGGGGTTAAACACGTACAGTACCAACATGACTATTTGGCACTCTCAGAAAGTGTCCCCGTCACCTTAATAGGGGTTAGCCATAGTGTTAAGATATATTGTACCTTCCCTCCATTCACGGAAAATTGTCCCCTTGAAAATACAAAGCTCAACAAGGAATGCAATTGAATGTTGGTGAAAGCAGTCTTTGAATGTCGGCACAGAATGTTGGTTGGTGAAACACATACAGTACTAGAATATTATCGATCAAACATGCCCCACAGTATCATCATTATACAGTACTAGAGTATTATCGATCAAACACACCCTATCATCATGAATATTAATCATCTAACTACTGTAATCAAATATTTTTTCAGATGTTTTATATTTTAAATAGCTGGCCTTCTTGGTCCAGTAAGAAGGTTTACCCATTACATTAATAAACACCACAAATTTTACACACTAACAAGATTTCATTTTTTTAACAAATTCACAAAAAGTTACTTTTATTACATGCCCAAAATCGAATTTGACATACAGTACAATGTAATCAGTTTGCTTGGTTTCACTTTACAAAACATTAACAAAATGACACCAGCCATTGACAAAGAATAACCCAGGAAAAAAACATTAAACTACTACCTCACATTATAGGATACATTACTTTGTGAGATTGCTTAATGTAAAATGAACAACATTACTACCTCATATTATAGGATACAATACTCTTTGTGAGATTGCTTAATGTAAAATGAACAACATTACTACCTCATATTATAGGATACAATACTCTTTGTGAGATTGCTTAATGATGCAACATGAACAATATTACTACCTTACATTATAGGATACATTATTTTGTGAGATTGCTTAACATAACATGAACATACAGATCAATGGCTAGCTGAAATGTAGTTAAAAAAACAAGTGCAGAATAATAAATAAAATAAAAATTATACAAAATAAACAACTGCATGAGGACTTGCTGCATGCAATATGACAGTGAAGTATAGTTCATTATTCCTGTTTTTGTTTTTTGTTTTTTTCAAGTAAACTTGTCACTTGATAATATACAATGCACTGTAGCTTGATATTTACCTTATACATAAGTACACAGAGATTACCAAATAATTTATGCCTAAGTAAAATAAAGCCACAAGATTTAGATCAAATTTCTTTACAATTACCATTATGGGTGATATTTTTCATAACAAATATAGGAAACATTATACAAAGTCTAAAATATTAAAACAACGGAATAACTCTGCGGAAAACGGTTGTCTGAAATTTTATCGCCGAACTGCTGGTCTTTCATAAGGAGGTCTTTCATAGGCAACACGGTCATATCCTCTATCGTAGCCTCTATCGTATGATGGTGGAGCTCTATCATACCGGGAAGAACTATGTAAGAAATGATAAAAAGGAAAAAAGCATTAATGATGTATACTGCAATTAAATTAAATAATACAATACTGTATTTCCTTTTTGACTTGTAAACTTATTAGAAATGCTGTAAATACATATGTACCATTAACTTTCAAACGATTTTGTTTAAAGACAAAAAAATGCAATGTAAAAAAAACCAAAAAAACATCAATTAAAAGTTAATAAAAACATTGAACAGATAATTTAAAAAGATCAAATAGCCTAAAGCCTCAATCGCACTGGATTTATTTCAGTAAAAGTAACCGTCTTGTCGGTAAGTTTGACCCAAAAAATCCAGTGCGGATAGTCCAGCTCGGTTAACTTGACTGTCGCCGCCGGTTAGTTTTCGGGAGTGAAATTTACTCAGTAATTCCTACCGATCTACTTTGACCGGCCTGGAAAATCCAATGCGAACAGCCACAGGTGGGTTAAATTAGGCCTCGCTAGGCCTGAAATATCGGAAGGAGAAATTCTAGGCCCTCGTGATGTTGGCCTAGTCAGTCGAAGGAACAGAAACAGATCACAACGGCGATTTGCTTTGATTAGATCAGTGTTGCATGTCAGTACGGGTCACGTTACGGGTCAAAATGTACCGCCTTCAAATAATTAATTTTAAACTACTTGGGAAAACTAACCGAGTTGAAAAGTCCAAGTGTGATTGTTAGTCAGCTATTCAACCAATGTGATGATGTCAATACTGATAATGTTGATATTCTCTATTTAGGCCAGCTACTCTACCCAGTATTATATTCACTGCTTTGTTGGGCAACATTGATAAGCTATTGGGCTCTATGTTTATTGTATTATACTTCCAAGAGATGTTGCAGCAGATTCTATCAAAAAAGTAAATGGAATTTTTGTAAATCTAGCAATAACTTTCATAAAATTATTTGGGTAGCTCAGAAATTTTCTCTACTCGCTTGAGCTGTTTGTATTACATAGTTTGATTTGCTGAAGTTTAGAATAAATGACTCGCATTAGGTGGAAGTACCAGATCATGTAGCGATTTTGTCTTTTACAATACAGATACTGTATGTGGAATGTAGATATCAGCTGTACTTAAGCTTCCTCACAAAATCTACATAAAATTAAAGAAATAAAACATTTTTATTTGCAAGCGCATATCAACAGGAGTCCTTTGAGAACAGACCAATTGTGTTAACCTTACCGCTAACTTTCACTCTGTGCTTGATACTGAGGCTAGCGTATACAAATTGCAGTACATAAACAGCTTCCAAAGAGGTCAATTTGATATTAAATTTGAGACATGCTAAATCATTTAAATATACATCTGCTAACAGTGATTCTTGATTCTCTACCAAATTATTAGTCAGTTATTCAACCACTGTGATCAATGTCAATACTGATGATTAAGTATTTTTTTCTAAATCTAAGGTCAGCTACTCAATGTCTTATCTGCTGTTTTGCATGGCAACATTGATAACTATTGGACATTGCTTTAAATTTATTGTATTATATCTCAGATTGTTGTTGCTTCTTCTAAGAAAAATTATCATTTTTGTAAGCCTATATAAATAGTTTTTCATTAAATTATTTGGCTAACTCAGAAATTGTTGATTTCGCTTAAACTTTGTGGATTTTGAGGTTTGTTTTGTAGAATATTTGGATCAATGGCTCGCAGTACGTAGAAGTACCAGATCATGTAGCGATTTTTAGTCTAAAATGCAGATGTGTGGAATGTAGATATCAGCTGTACTTCCTCGGAGCAGCCAGGCATTTTGTATACATTAAAAGCGAACTTCAAGTAGCCTCTTGCAGACCTTGCATAAGATTCTATTGAGATATCTCTACAAGTAATCTGCCCGCCATGAATAAATAGATATTCCATCTGAAAAATAAACTAATGTGTGGAGCTAGAAGTGTTTTAAGGAGAACCTTCTCATTGGGTTTTAATAAAACAATAAAGACATTTCAGGTCAACTCATATAATGAAATAATACGCTACCATGCCACTAACGATCGTACGTGCTAAATTGCGAAGCTATGAACATAAAGATGTGTTTATCAGTGTTACGAAAGTATTTGACAACTGTGTAGCCTCATCATTCGCTGAAACAGAATGCTTTGTTTGATTAGGACATGATAATTACAATTTGGGATAGCGTGCAGTATGTGGATTCAATTTGCTCTCAGATATGACCAAAACGTTTCCACCAAAATCATTTCATTGCATATGAAAGTAAATCAATTTGCGAATTATCTGTTATCGACACTTCGCTGCAATTGAACCTTTTATTCAGATATGCCAAGGTTGTGCTAAAATTGAAATGTACGCTACTAGGTCAAAGAATCATACGATGCTGAATTGCAGAGCTATAAACAAAAAGATATGTTTATCAGTCTTGCGATCTGTGTCGTATGCTGAAATAAAATGCTTGTATTAGAGAACATAATTTAAATTAGGGGAAAGGGTGCAACACATGAATCATATTATATGCCTTCTGATATGACAAAATGCTGAATTTTCCACGAAAATCGCTTCATTGCATCAGATAGCAACTCAATTAGCGAGTTATCTTATATTGACACTTCGCTAATATTGACCGCTTTTTCAGATAGACCAGAGTGGACATATGCTTGATTTGAGCTTATAATACCTTCGTCTTGGTGGTGAGCGACTGCGGTAACTTGGAGGCCCACGCGACTCAAAGCCTGAATATGAATCTGCGTAGCGAGACGATCTTGTGTCATCATAGCCGCGACGATAATTGCTTTGGTAGTCACCGTAAGATGGTCTTCCTCTGCCTCCTGGTCGACCATCACGATCCCTTCCTCGTCCGCCAAAACCACCACCACGGCCTCCCCTGCCTCCTCCACCACGTCCACCACGACTGCGTCCTCTTGATCGCTCTACTTTAATACGCGTTCCAAGAACTAAATTTCCATCCAAATTTCTTAACGCTTCATCTGCATCTCTGGAATCTTCAAATTCGATGAATGCGAAACCTGGAGGATTGCGTGCCAGCCAAATGTCTCGAAGATGTCCATATTTACCAAATTCACGCTCAACATCTGACTTAGTTGCGCTGGGATTCAAATCTCCAATGTAAAGTCTTGCTTCTGAGGGCATTGTTAATCTGCAAAAAAAACAAAAAAAAAAACAATTAAATTAAGCCTGGAGATACCCTTCACATTAACTTGTTCCTCTACAAATAAAGAACTTATTGACCGTTTAAAGCAGCTTGTTTAGGTAATTTTGGATTTTACAATTCACCTCTAGTAAACGCCCTCCTTTGAAAAAATGCAACGCTCCCGGGGCGTTTATTAGAGACAATACGGTAGTAGTAACAGTTCAAAACTGCTCTAAAAACTCACCTTTTTCAATTACCCTTTCTTTAATAGCACTGAGACTACCTGTGTAAGAGCGCTTAATAAATATTCAAATTATTATTATTATTATTATTAAATTATCATACAACAACTTAACCCTTTCACTGCGTGTACCCGGTAATACCGGGTATAAACACATATTGTTGAATTGCGCGTACCCGGTACTACCGGGTATGTAGAAAAAATATTGTTAAAAATCAGGAAGAGGTTCTGCGCCCTCTATAGTTTTTTTCTATGAACAATAATTAACCTTTTATCGGAAAAAAGTGTTTTCGAGTGGTTAGGCGCAAAATGGCGGGTGCACAGCCTCAAAAGAGACGGTACAATGTCGACGAAGCTATGGACCAGATCTTTGCAGATACGGATAGTGAAGATAACTTTGAATTGGATGATTCTTGCATTTATTTTCCCCCAATCGACTATGATAGTGACGACAGTGATTCTAAGGACGAAAACGATGATTCTCTCAACTTGGGAGGCCCTGCACAGGGTCAAGGTGGCAATGCCTTGTCCGCAGATTTCCTTTCCACATTTCACACAATAGATGTGTATAAGAGACAGATATTAGGTCAGTTAAGTTATACCTCCGTCTCTTATACACATCTTGATGTTTGCAACGATGCATTTATATTTACAACCTGGATTATATAAAGCACAAATAAAAACGTATGGCAAAAAGTACAACTAACAGTGATTTTCTGCAAAATTTTATATTTTCACAATTTTGAAGAAAAACTTTATTATTTGCGGTTTTGGAATAAAACGATCAAACTAACTAATTTTTTTTTTGTTTTTATTCATCTTGTGTGTCTGCATCATTATAAAGTAAAAAAAAAAAACATTCCATAAAAATTTCATTGGGAAAAATTGGGTTTTTTATCAAAATTTGAGAAAAAACAGAAATTCAAAATGGCGACTTTGAGGTCACATGACTACCTAATTATGCAAAATACCAAATATCAATGTTCCTCGCGTAGGCCAACCTATTGCTCGCCCCAACACACAAAAAGAATTTCGAAATAACCTCTTTTAGTATTTTTTTTAAATTATTTTAAAAATTAACTTTTTTCGTTAAAAAAGTCCCAGCACAGGGGGTGCATATACCTACAGCAGTGAAAGGGTTAAGCCGTTTTCAGACAAAGGTTCACCAATTATTGCTGTAATATTGCTTAATATAATGCATGTCTGTTAGAATGGATCACGCACGCTGTGAGTCATTGGTTAATCAGGGGGCGTAGCGCGTAATAACAATTTTTTTATCTGAAATTTCCATTTTCTCGAAGCAGAGGGTGCACAAACTGGACAAACATAAAATTATCTTATTTTTTTATTCGAAATCACCATATTGGTGGTCTAAAAATAAAAAAATTTTCCAAATTGGCCAAGTGAAAAAGCTTTTAATATGTAAGTCCCGGTACAATTTAGCCTACAACACACTATAATTTTAAGTGCAGAAACTCCATTAATACTAAAACCTAGTATTGTTTATCAGACTTCACATATGTCCATCAAGGTAAATTTTACATTTCAGCTCTGAAACTCAATGGTTAATTAAAAATAATATGATGTATGTTTTTAAATAGAGCTCTATACCTCTCAGAGCAAATTCCACATTATTACCCCAGTCATTGAATTGATGACTACACCTGTCTCTTATACACATCTAGATGTGTATAAGAGACAGCCACCACGTCCACCACGACTGCGTCCTCTTGATCGCTCTACTTTAATACGCGTTCCAAGAACTAAATTTCCATCCAAATTTCTTAACGCTTCATCTGCATCTCTGGAATCTTCAAATTCGATGAATGCGAAACCTGGAGGATTGCGTGCCAGCCAAATGTCTCGAAGATGTCCATATTTACCAAATTCACGCTCAACATCTGACTTAGTTGCGCTGGGATTCAAATCTCCAATGTAAAGTCTTGCTTCTGAGGGCATTGTTAATCTGCAAAAAAAAAAAAAAAAAACCAATTAAATTTAAGTTAACTTTGACACAATGAGAGTAAATACCGTATTGTCTCTAATAAACGCCCCTCTTCTAATAAACGCCCCTCTGAGTTCTTTTCATTTTGCAATGAGTGCCCAATCAATTAACATGGGTATCCAGTCCATAAAAAGGTTGACAAACAAGAAGCAATACCGTACTGTGTGCTGCTTTCTTTGATATGAAATGAAATAAATACTACTCAAAAAAGCTTACACTAAACGTTTGATGTTTACTGTCTTCACGATCTGTTGAGTGCTGGACGGGCCCGTCCCTGTCTCTTATACACATCTAGATGTGTATAAGAGACAGGCCAAATACCGTCCTCAAACCCGTAATCGTGGAGCTGTCTCAGTTTGACCTCAAGTTGACCTGACCTAGCTAGCTGTCAAGACTCGCAACATAACCATTCTCTGCATGCTTGGCGCGAATAGTCTGTACATCTAATAAAAATATTTTAATCTTATTGTTTTGTTGTCCCAATAATTATCGCACCAGCCAACATCTGTCTTCTTCTTCTTGTGCGTCGTGCAATCATGCTGAGTATTATCGTTAATAAGTGTATTGTTAATATTTCTCTGATTAAACAAAGCCCATAGTAAAAAAAAGAAACGCATCACAGAGGGTACCATTTCAAATATTCGCGCAATTATTTGTATGCCTAGGCCTACCTGGCCTAGGCTAGCACTGCAGCAGTTAGCCTACGGAACACCAATGCCTATTAAAATAAATTTTGTACATCTGTTTTGTTGCATTCCTCAAATTCTGGCCTAGGCCTACCTGGGACTAGCCAAAAAATTGCGTCAGCTAGCCTTGGGCCTAGGCCTGCTCGACTTAGGCCTTTTGGTTTTTAAGAGCTTTCACGAATACGGCGAACCCCACCCCCGGGAAAACGGGGAGGGGGGTGGCAGCATCCCACCCCCGGGAAAACGCGGAATGATCGCCGACCGGCACTTCAAAGAGCTGGTGACATCCCTGCTCTCATAATAAAACACTTGAATGGTCATGATTTTAACTTTAACATTTGAATGTGTACAGCAACCGTGTCATGCCGGCCCACGACATTCGCTATGACTCAACTGGGCCTAGGCTGTTCAGTTAGCGATGAATAGCAGGGCAGTGCAGTATTTTGTTACAATTGACGCAACCACGGAAATATTTATTGTATTCGTCTTGTCTTTATCTATCAATTTAGCTTGTCTATTGTGTTTAGGTAAACTAATTATTTTGTTACAATTTGTAAACTGTTGAAATAATAGTGGTGGTCGGGAGCCTGTAAATCCTGGTCGGAAATGTTGAGTGCTGGACGGGCCCGTCCACCGCCGACCAGCATGGTCGCACCGGCCAACATCTGTCTTCTTCTTCTTGCGCGTCATGCAATCATGCTGAGTATTATCGTTAATAAGTGTATTGTTAATATTTCTCTGATTAAACAAAGCCCATAGTAAAAAAAAGAAACGCATCACAGAGGGTACCATTTCAAATGTTCGCGCAATTATTTGTATGCCTAGGCCTACCTGGCCTAGGCTAGCACTGCAGCAGTTAGCACGGAACACCAATGCCTATTAAAATAAATATTGTACATCTGTTTTGTTGCATTCCTCAAATTCTGGCCTAGGCCTACCTGGGACTAGCCAAAAAAAATTGCGTCAGCTAGCCTTGGGCCTAGGCCTGCTCGACTTAGGCCTTTTGGTTTTTAAGAGCTTTCACGAATACGGCGAACCCCACCCCCGGGAAAACGGGGAGGGGGTGGCAGCATCCCACCCCCGGGAAAACGCGGAATGATCGTCGACCGGCACTTCAAAGAGCTGGTGACATCCCTGCTCTCCTAATAAAACACTTGAATGGTCATGATTTTAACTTTAGCATTTGAATGTGTACAGCAACCGCGTCATGCCGGCCCACGACATTCGCTATGACTCAACTGGGCCTAGGCTGTTCAGTTAGCGATGAATAGCAGGGCAGTGCAGTATTTTGTTACAATTGACGCAACCACGGAAATATTTATTGTATTTGTCTTGTCTTTATCTATCAATTTAGCTTGTCTATTGTGTTTAGGTAAACTAATTATTTTGTTACAATTTGTAAACTGTTGAAATAATAGGGGTGGTCGGGAGCCTGTAAATCCTGGTCGGAAATGTTGAGTGCTGGACGGGCCCGTCCACCGCCGACCAGCATGGTGACCATCCCTGCTTTTATATAAAATTTAGTGTCTGTTATGGCCTTTGTCAATGCTTTGGCTTGGCACCAATACAGTTTTTGAAATCTCTAGGTCTAGGCCAGCAAAAATTTTAAAAAATATTTTTTTTATAAAATCTGCCCCCCCCCCCCAGTTTGTTCAACTGGAATTACGTTCCTTTCTTGTAAGCCTAGGTTTCCCTTTTCACATTGACATAAATTAAATAAAACATTCTTCTCCACATTTTCGTTTAATAACTATTATTTTTTGTCGCATCATTTATTTTAACTACATAAAAACAACTTTGCAAAAAAACAAATGCTCACAAAATATAAAGGAATTGCCTTCAAATTCGGCAGACTTCAAACTCTTCCAATTGATTAGATCAAACATTAGGATCGCTGTAATGTTGAAAATGCAAAGCCCATTCTTTTTTACTGTCACTGAAAATAGACAGCTCGCTAACTGTGGCTAAAAATAGACTACACCACAGTCTGTCCGGCCCTAAAGAGACCCGCCCAGTGG